CTCTAAAAAAAGGGTGTCAAACTCGCATCAGCATGGCGGCTTCACGCAACGTATCAAAACTTTTTTCCCCTTTGCTAAACTGCGTGTGGGTATGGCCAGCACTTGACGCATCCATGACAGGCCTGCTTTAAAAAGTGTCAGAGACTATGGTAATCACTGATGGTTGAAGCAGTGGTCCTCCTTTGTGACGTAACCATTGAATTGCTTGAATTAGCCTGCAGAAAAATAAAATGTTCTATCTGAGGCAGACAGGAGCACTCAAGGTGACATGTGTACTTTGGAAATGGAGGAGAAATTGATGTTCTGAGGTTGTTTGAAGCTGAAAAGGCAATTAATGTAACATGTTGCAAGGTGAGTCTGGCAATGGGGCAATTGAGCAGTGTGGAAAAGGCCTAATTCATGGATTGGCACATAATAAACATGGATTGAATAAGAACGCAAGTGAAAAATGGAGGCTTATGTTTACTACTAGAAAATCTACATTTCGGGGAAATTGTCATGATTACTATAACCTTTGCTGCAGAATCCACTTGTGAAACATGCCTGGAAAATGAAAATGTGAATGGAGAACTTATGTTGGGCTGTGGTACTTTGCTTTAGACTCAGAAAAAAACAGTAACTGGGGATTACTCTGTGAATCCAATAGCTGGTTTACTTTCCTATAAACTCATGCAAGACTTGGAGAATTAGAGTCTATCTTCAATGATTGAGAAGTCCCATGCGCTCCATAATAGAATTACTGAATCAGCAGATTACTCTGTAATTGTTTATGGATCAACAATTCACCTATATGAGCTCAAAGTACTATCCCCAATAATTATCAATAAGGAATACTTTTAAAGGAGCTTTTAAAAACAAAGCAATTATGACATAGTACTGTATGCTTGTTTAAAGCTTCCGGAAAAGATCTGGAGACAGTAATCATTAGCAAAGCAGATGACAAACTTGTCTTTAGTAATCGACCTATATGAATATAAAGTTGGACCTTTAAACTTTATTTCAAATATTTTCGTGCATTGGTGGCTATTTTGCACACCATATGTCAGAAATTAGCATTTCACAAGCAACTCCAAATACAGTAGCCTAGAATATAGTCAGTGTTGGCTTGTTGGTAAGTGTATTTGTGATCATAATGTAGATTTTTGCAAAAAAACAAAACAAAACAACATTTTGTCTTACCATCACCTTGCATCAAAGCTGATTCAACTATGCATTAATGCCTACATATTCAATCTTTTAGGGCAAAACCTTCTTAAAGCAATGTATAGCAAATAAAGAAGTAAATAATATATTTGTTAGCTGTTCTAGATAAGCCAGGCCAGAAGACAAGACTCCACAAATAATACTGGAACTTTAATTCATTGCTGCAGGGTCTGACAAACTTCTCTTTTCCCCTTTTTATGCCAAAGACAAGATGGGACAATCTTGAGTTCCTTTCTCACTCTTCCCTTCCAGGGGTAAGCTGGTATTTATGCAATAGCCTTATTTATAGCCATTTCTGTACTTTTCTATAATATTAAATCACAACAAAGCAAACAATTTCTTTGGGAGTATTTTAGAAATAGAAAATATTTGCTTTTAAAATGTACACTTCAAAAGTAATGTGTCACTTGTATCTAGCTGCATCTGGAGAATAGCTTTTTAGAAGCAAAACAACTTTGATTCATTGGCTCATTACTGATGTTTAGTTTGTGAATACCATCATGATTTCTGAACAAATTATAGGCTTTCATGGTGCTCAAGCTGCTCTCTATGAAAGCTAAAATTAGCTCCCTGAAACAGGACTAGAAATACCATGTTGATATAAACTGCATAGGTAACACCCATGACATGTAACTGTGATGCATTTGATAATAATACCTGAAATGTGAATGCAGCCATATATTCACTTCTGTCACCATTTTGCTAAAACAATTGCTTTTAGCAATTAAAACATAGCCAAAGTAATAAGTTTCCTAAAGGAATCCTGACTGTTCTTTGGAAGGACAGATACTGAAGCTGAAGCTCAAAACTACCTAATGAGAAGAGAGGACTCCTTGGAAAAGACCCTGATGGTGGGAAAGATTGAAGGCAAAAGGAGAAAGGGATGGCAGAGGACGAGATGGTTAGATAGCGTCATTGACACAATGAATTTAGGCAAATTCCAGGAGACAGGAAAGCACGGTGTAGGGGAAGTGGGGGCTGGCATGCTATGGTCCATGGGGTTGCGAAACATCAGACGCAACTTAGCAACTGAACAACAACAAAAGTTATATCATCGTTCCATTAGCTTTTGCATGACTAAAGTAAGAATTGAGAGATTAAGGAAACACAAAGTACAGTAAGTTGTTTATCCTTTCTTCAAAAGAAGGCTTTATCTTGTAGCTCACTACAGTTATATTTGCTTTGCAAAGTGTTTTAGGATTAAGATGTATGTGTATCCACGAGGCAGGGTTGAGAAGACAAGTTAAACCCCCTTCCTTTTATTTTATTTGGGTGGTTTAGGGGTGGGGAATTTGTGGTAGGTGGGGATGTGTTTGGGGATTGTTATGTGTGTTGGACCTGGTCTTTGGGTGTTAAGTGAATTTCGTTGTATGGGTATATGGTGTATACACGTACAATGACAATAAAGTTGTTATTGTTGTTGTTGTTGTTATTATTATTATTATTATTATTATTATTATTATTATTATTATTATGACTTTCCCCTAGGAAATCAGTAGTGTTCATTATGTTCCCTTCTCCAAATTCTCTCTTATGAGGTATATCACAATGATCACTGTTACTAAAATATGGTAAAAGTGTATCTCTGGCAGATGAATGCTTGATTAAACAGGCTTTGTACTTCATTCAAAATTAAGGCCTCATTTAATACTACTTCCCAGATTGTGAAGCTGATCATTAAGGGATACTGCAACTGATACAGAAATAGTCAATCACTGCTTTTTCCTCTCTGATTAGTGGCTGCTCATGAGTAATATTTCCATCCTCTCACCTAGTTCAGGATCAATCTAGGTTAGATGAAAAATATTGCCAGCTATCAAAAGCAAGCATATAACTTCATTTCTTCGGACAGCTTTAGTGTAATGTAAATGTGGAAAGGCATGGAACAGAAAATAGAGCTTGATGTTTCAAAGGATAAAACCACAACATAACAGGTCCATTTGCTAAATATAAGCAGATCAATATAATTGTCTCCTACCTCAATTCAAGTGCTCTAAGAGAATATCAGAGCCGATAGCATCAAAAGTCAACATAGCTGTCCAATGTAAGACCAGGCATATAGCCCATCTTTTTTTCCTGCTTCAATTTGGAAATATTGGGAGGTGTAAAGCCACTTATTCAAATACTTGTTTAATGAACATTTGTTCACTGACAAAATGTGCAATGGCACATTTCCAACAAGTGGAAGTTATTACTGGTCCTAAAATTTCAAGCCATTGCAGCATTCCCACGGTTATATGATCATGATTTGGACACTTGGCAACCAGCTCCCAATTAAGACATACTGTCCCATACTCATCCAATCACCATTTGCGACCTCCTCTGCTGGTTTCTCACAAAGTCAATGGGGAAGTGGACAAGAGATTGCAAATGGCGACCATGTGACCTTGCACTTTAACATTATGGAATTCATTTAACAGCAGCAACTGCAAGTGGCAAAACTGCTGTTGCTAAGTGATGCAGACCAGTAGTGGGTTTCAGTTACCTTCACTACCGGTTCGGAACCGGGAGCACACATGCACGCTTGCTTCACTCGTGCGCAGTGCACAGTGTGTCCGTGATGACGTCTGGGCGGGTGGGCGGAGCCTCTCACCATTACCGGTTCGCCCAAAACGGTGTGAACTGGTAGAAACCCACCAATGCAGTCACATGATGTTTTACAACTGCATTGCTTAGTGATGCAAAGTCCAGTCCCACTTACCTTTCTTAACCAAGAACTATTTGTGTGACTTATTCGAAGAGAGAAGAGTAAACAATGATACTTCCTAGTATTTTCCTAGATCCAGAGTTTCTAGCAAAAGTCATATGGGGGTTACCAGGGCTGGTAACATTGGTAGCTATGAAAATTTCCCATCTCTCAACAAGAGATCTTGCTTTGGAAGAGGCATTGTACTCAGATCTAAGAAAAGAATGTATTCCTCTGTATACCAATTCTGATCACATTACTTATTGGCTTCTGTGCTAATTCAATTTTCATTTCTAAAAGCAACACACTAGATGCAATGTTACATTTGACATTTTATGTAATTTAGACCAAATTGTAACTGAAGATTTTTTTCAAACTCAAAATGCTTGATATTACAAAGAAACATGCTCCGATACTTGCAACTAGCTAAAATCACTTATAAGACCCAATCCAATTTGTTTAGATTGCACTAGAGTGCTTATTGTGAAATGTACATTTATTTATCCATTGTCACTCAGCGTAGGATCTAAAGTGAGATCTAGGCTTGATTAATTTGTATGTCTTTCTCCACTTACATTCTGCATTTCAAATTATCTCACTTGTTTCATTACTCAAACTTTCCTAGTTTTATGAAGCTCAGATAAGCAGAAGACACCTAGGATCCACATTTTCTACCAATAGAATATACTGTATCAACTGGAAACTCCTCCAAGGATTCAAGAAATAATATTAAATCAGATGTTTTTCCAACTCTGTAGTCATATGAACAATTTAGCTCTTAGCATTTTCTAAATCTTAATTAGCTCTAAAATACGGAAATCTCTAAAGGAAACTTAATTCTTGCAATGTGAGAGTGTCTTTTTACTTCATGTCTTTGGGGAAATACCTCTCATGAAGTAACAACCTACTTTCAAAATAGCTGAGGAATAATGTTTTCTGGGTCTAGTTATATGCACACAACTGAATAGTGCAAACAGTGATGAGACTACTGATAGGCTTAGTTCCATTTTCATAACTGAGATTAAGAGCCGTCTGTATTGTAGAATCATCACAGAGGTACTGACATTCAATACATCTCTTGCTGAATTCAAGGGGGGGAAACAAGACGCCCTGAGTTGTAAAGTAAACTTTATTTTTGACATTATAAGCTGAATCACACGTACAAGATATTGGAATTTTTATTACAGTAATTCAGAATACTCTCACTTCTTTTATGTTTGCCAAGAGACCTAGACAATATACTATAGACATTTGATAACATTTTAGGAATGTCTAGTGTTCTGCAGTTTCTCCTTTCAGGAGAGGCATGGGAATTGTTGATGTATTCAATATTATATGAAATAAAATCAATATAACCATATAAGAAATATGAAATAAGTATTAGAACAATATAAGTAAATAGAGGAGGAACAATACTTTAGCTGAAAATGCTCACTGGTATGTCCCAGGCCAATGTTCCTGAACCATGGCAACTTTAAGATCTATGAACTTTAATTCCCAGAATTCTCCAGTCACTAGAATTTCTGGAAGTTGAAATTCATGAAACTTAAAAGTTGCCACAGTTGATAAACATTGACCTTGATAGTTGCAATACCACACCTTTCAATATCTTGTTCTCCCACTTACCATATACATAGGTATATGAGGCCTATGGATTGATTGGGACATTCTCCTCCTATCTAGGGGAAGGAGAGAGAAGCCTAAATGTGCAGCCCAAGTGAACAAAAGAAAGTTTATCAGAGTTTTGTTGATGTATATGCTATACCAGGACCACACCCTTGAAAACCTATAAGGTAAAGGTAAAGATTCCCCTTGCACATATGTGCTAGTTGTTCCCAACTCTAGGGGGCGGTGCTCATCTCCGTTTCAAAGCTGAATAGCCAGCGCTGTCCCAAGACATCTCTGTGGTCATGTAGCCAGCATGACTAAACGCCAAAGATGCACGGAATGCTGTTACCTTCCCACCAAAGGTGGTCCCCATTTTTCTATTTGCATTTTTTATGTGCTTTCGAGCTGCTAGGTTGGCAGAAGCTGGGACAAGTAATGGGAGCTCACTCTGTTACGTGGCACTAGGGATTCGAACTGCTGAACTGCCGACCTTTCGATCAACAAACTCAGCGTCTTAGCCACTGAGCCACCACATCCCTCTTGAAAACTTAGTTTCTTAATTCATTATAATATGGATGTTCAGTTTTGTAATTGTGCTGTTTTTTATTTTATTTAGGTTGTCAAACATGTATAAGATAACAGATATAAGTAGAAACATGATTATGAATACAGGAAATGTATACGAATTGTACCTCTAGCTCTACAAGAGCTAGAGGTACAATTCGTATACATTTCCTGTATTCATAATCATGTTTCTACTTTATTATTAATTTATTATCAATGTAATAACTGCAGAAAGTCAATCATGGAAAACAATGCTATGATTTTTTAAAAATTATCTTTACCTTTTTACTTATTACAAAGTTTAATTTTAGGGCTTTCCAATACTTTGCATTTTTGTCATGTCTTCTTAATGGAAATTGTAGACTATTCCTAATATTGCAAAATTATTAACTTTACCTAAATGAATTCTATAACTCCCCATCTTCAGAATTTGTACAAAAGTTCAAATGCTTAATTCCAGTCTATAATATGTTCTAATGTTTTATTTACAGTCAGAATTGTTTTTAAAAATTGTTAAGATTTAATATTGTTATATTCCTTCTGATAACAATTTCTTGCCTTTTTTAAAAAATAAGCCATGCTTCCAATTTTTTTTTATAAATATAATTGCAAATTTAAAAAGGGGACAAATCCTTTTATAATTTCCATAATAGGTGCCATTGTTACTGCAGAATGGTGTAGGAATCTGTGCAAATAAGGTCTTCATTTTTTGATACTAAATATACAGTAAATGAAGATGAAGCTCCACATCCTTCACTGTTCAGAAGACAAAACCTATGCCACAATAAAAAAGTGCACAACATGCTAAGATGTAGAGAATTATTACAATTATACGTTGTGTTACAACTTTGTTTTAGAATAACCACCACTATGGAATGCAGCACAGTCTTAATCCTTGCACATATGACAGGCAACTTCACAGCCACAACATTCCAGTTCTTTATAGTAAGAAGGAAAGAGATGCAGTGAAGAACTACTGAATTTTCTTGATAGTTCTTTCAAAACTTGAAAGTTTCTCATGGCAGTGTCCATATAAGAAATGTAAATAAGTAATCTATAAACAGCATTAACAACATACCATTGCAGTTTAAAAGAACAACATATAATATCACAGTTTCTACATCCACAATTGTCAGATCATGGATAATTTTTAATTCTACACAATGTACAGAAAGGTATGTAAGGGAATGCTAACTTATGGCAAACAACATTTGATGCATCTAGGAATCTGTTGGTGCATAAAATCTTAGCTTGCATGCAGACTCTTGTGAAAATCTGGACTTTGTAGCTATTGCTAAGAAAGATCCATTTTATTGAAAAAAATAAATCCATCTTGGCTCAGGTGATTTAAATTTCCCCTAAACAGTTAACATTTTAAGATTAGTTGGTCAAACAAGAAACCATGTACAGAGGCTACAGTTCAGTATCATGCCCTTAACATAACATTTTTGCCTTGGCTGATTAAAAAAAAGACTATTCTACAACATAGTCCTGAAAATAATCCAGATGTTGGGGTTTTCCTTTGGCCAGAAATTGTACATCATTTAACAGACTAAGGATGAACCAGTTTTTCTTTGTCTTCTTAAAGAGGATATCTTGGAATATAAAAAATTTACCCTGATTTAGATTTTAAAAACTAGTTCCCTAGAATCTCCTATCTGCTTGCCTTTTTCACAGGGCGGGGAGGTAATCTGAACTCCCCGTCATCTCCCACTGGCTTCTATTGCAACTGTATACAAAAATGAGTCAAAGGCCCACTGTGCTGATAGAAGGTTAAACAAATATGCAGGGACCAATGCTTCCTCTCTGCATGAAACAAGTCAGTTTCCCCTTCTCAAGGAAATATACAATAGTAGCAATGAAATTCAGATTAGGTTAAGGTGGGCCAAGAAATAAGAAGACTAAGGTTAAGATCAAGATGAGTGAGGAAAACTGAGCTCTGGGATATTCAGAATTTGGGGGTGATTCTTGGTTGAGGGTAAGAATTTCTGAATCTTTCTTCTCCTCCTTCACCTCAGGTTCCTATAAAGGGAGACAGAGAAAGAGGGAAAACATTAAATTCTGATTGGATATCTCTCATTTAAATTCTCTCTTCCTCCCCTTTTTTTCTGTTGGATTTTCTGGAGGCCTCTTTGGAAGGTGAAAACCTCTCAGAATATATTTAACTGAAAGCTGGTAATTTTAGAGTCATATCTCTGATTTCAGTTATAGTATTGTTTAATTAACATAATTAACTTACCTGATACAGTTTTTCAGTGAACATTGTACTGGTGCCATCTCCTTGAATGTCTAAGGAAGGGGTGAACTGCGGCTGGTCCTTATTCTTTTGGCCAAGATTCATCTGCGCTTGGATCGCATTATCTGTGACACAGAGAATATGGAGGAGTGTTGAGGAGCTCTAACTGCTCATACGTCCATTATACAAATTCTGAGCCATTGGTTGAAGGCTCTAGGTTTAGCAGAGTAAATATGCTGATAAATTATTGTATTTATATTTTTCAGAAGTCTCTATCAAAAATTAGCAGGCATTTTCCATTCTTCTTTGGCTACACAGGAACCTGCAGTTTCTTTACTCATCGATTTTTGGCTTTAATGCAAGAGCATTTTGGCAATTAACTCACTGTATATTGCTCTTGATCAAGAAAACTATTCCAGTGTAATATATCACCAGGCTTGGCAGGGATTGGAATTTATCAATCAAGTTCAGGCATATGTCTTTCTTCCCTTCCAAAGAAGATAAGAGAATCTGATAATGAATCATAATTAAAAATTAATCAAGAAGCACAAAGAACTTTTTTCATAAGCATTTTTTACAATTTAAAAAGGTGAAACATTAAGAATTGAAACCAATGTTTAACCTCACTTTTACAAGAGTGAAAAATATTTATCTTACAAGGCTTAACTTTCTAAACTCTATAGGCAATGATGGGGATAGAAAACAAATATACTTTTAGTGCTCAGGTGACTGACTGTCACCTTTCCAGTATCAGCATCAACTTCTCTTACTGAATGCAGATGTAATTAATGAAGTAAGATATTAATAAAGTAACAATTATTAATTATAATTAATGAGATAAAAATACAATATGCAATATAGTGTATATTGCTTATTGCAATATATAGTATCGGAATAAAAGTCTAGCTTCAAATTTTCTTTCCAAAATACGAAAGAAATTAAAGGTATTGGATAAATTGAAACTAGGGAATGAAGGCAAGAACAGCATATTTTTTATATTTTCAATATCCTTTGAGATTGCAGCAGGGTATAAATGTAAAAAATGAATAAATCTCATCTGCAGTCTCTGAATGTGGACTCCTAGTTTAGTATCCTAACAATACCTGGCAGATCTGTCCTCCATGAATTTCTCCAATCTTTATGAAAATCTGTAATGGACCTGAACACCATTGAAAGACTGGTGGGATATACATGGAGTATTTATTAAAGTCCTCTAGCAATAACTTTCAAGTTTAATTTTACACTGCATAGAAATCTACTTTCATTTCTCCATGGAATCCTCTGCCAATCTTGGTACTACAGTGCCTTGGTACTACAGTGGTTTAAAGCACCCTGTTATTAACACAGCTGCCTGCAATTTACTGCTGGTTCGAATCTCTCCAAGGCTCAAGGTTGACTCAGCCTTCCATCCTTTCTAAGGTAGGTTAAATGAGGACCCAGTTTGTGGGGGCAATAAGCTGACTTTGTATAAATATACAAAAGTATGAAGGCTATTGCTTAACGCACTGTAAGCCGCCCTGAGTCTCCGGAGAAGGGCGGCATATAAATCAAATTAAAAAAAAAAAAAAATCTATTTCATTGGGAAACTTTTGCGGTTAGAAAAATCAAGATCTGCCCTAATATTCATATTCAATATTGACTTACTGAGACACTTGTTGCTGGAAAATAAGTTAAGGATTTGATCACAGTCCTCTTTATGATTGCCACTGTTTGTACAGGAACACCAAAGTGTGATTTCAGTACTGGAATTGCTCACATAATTGGGGGTCAAAGATGTACCTGTTTCAAATAAAGCAATACAATAAAATCAGACAACCCAGAATAAAGTAGGTCAGGTGCATGTTATTGTCAAGAAAACTACATAGAAGTGTTTATGAAATTACAAGATAATTTTAATCAAGATAGTTTTAAAACATAGTTTTAAGGAACCAAATATAGTTTTAACAGAGATTTACCTTTTAATTCCTAAACCAAAAAGGCTAAATATAAAACCACAGAACTATTTTCTTTAAACGTGCAATAAAGCTGGTGAATCATTCTTTTCAGTCAGCACCCTAAGACTATATAATTCTGATCTGGAAATAAACTAGTTTCAATAAACTACCTGCACCACCTTTTTCTCAGTGAGGTTTCAGTCCATATAGTGTATTGATAGTTATTTAACTGCCAACAACTTATGTTGGGGATATTCTACAGTGAGACACTAAGGAAAAACACTAAGGAAAAAACAATTACTACCAACCTGCCTTCCATTGAGGACCTGTAAACTGCATGAGTCAGAAAGAGGGCTGTGAAAATATTTACAGACCCCTCACATCCTGGACATAAACTGTTTCAACTCCTACCCTCAAAACAACGCTATAGAGCACTGTACACCAAGATGGCTAGATACAAGAAGTTTTTCCCCGAATGCCATCAGTCTGCTAAACAAATAATTCCCTCAACACTGTCAAACTATTTATTAAGTCTGCACTACTATTAATCTTCTCATTGTTCCTATCACCCATCTCATCCCACTTATGACTGTATGACTGTAACCTTGTTGCTTGTATCCTAATGATTTAAATTGACTGTTTCCTAATATGATTTGATTGCTTATTTGTACCCTGTGACTATCATTAAATGTTGTACCTTATGTTTCTTGATGAATGTATCTTTTCTTTTATGTTCACTGAGAGCATATGCACCAAGACAAATTCTTTGTGTGTCTAATCACACTTGGCCAATAAAGAATTCAATTCAATTCAATTCAATTCAATTCAATTCAATTCAATTCTATTCTATTATGGATTACTATCAATGATTGAAGCATGAGTCTTACTAAAATAAATCAAAAGATGTATTGATTTCAGCACCCTGTGGCTAGAGCTACCCAGGCAAAGGATTATAGAAATAGAGGCATTTATGATGGGAGTATGGAGACCCATTTGGACAACACTGGTCAAAGTCAGAAAAGATTTTCTATTAAACTTCCCAATAAATTCCACCAGTTCCAACACATACCAATCATCTTCATGTAAGCCTGCAGGCATGCTGCATAATTCAGCGGAGAGCAGCTATCTGTTAATGCCTGTAACGGTTTGCATTTTTCTTGGAAACCAGCCAGCCGGGATCTGACAGGAGACACAACTATCAGAATGACAAACCCCTTTATTAGCCCAAAATTATTTATATGTTTTCCAAGTATTTGATAAGGTAAATCAAAATCGAGGATTTTTTTTTAAAGTGGGAGATTGCACTATAGTTCCCCCATTTTCATAAAAATAATGAAGGACCTTAGGGATTGTAGTGAAACATTGATGTCACATGAGTGGACGTGATATTAAACCCCTTGTGGCCACTTCTGGATGGGTTGTGTGAGCGTGTGTACTTTTTAAATAGGTACATCACACTATCAGAATTGTAACACATCTGTTTTACTGCTCTTATAGACATTAATATTCAGATGCGCATATGCCATGAAACTTACTCAGATAATCATTCCATTAGACCCACCTGCAGGTATTATCCTTGACGCAGGCGTCCAGCAAGAGGAGGCAATTGGGCTTGCTGCTGCTCAGGAAAGAACATTGTGGGACGATGGTTTGCCAGCGTCGTTCCCCACAAGCTTCATCTTGGCAAGGACAAAACAGGAGCCTTTTGGTGAATTCCACACCAATCTTCTCAAAGAAGTATCTCAGATTTCGGTGACATGCGCGTTGGTCACAGGGGTATCCTGTAGTGCAGGCCTGAGCATACTGTGAGCGATGACGCATGCATTTGTGGTCCAATTGGCAAGTATTAGCAGCAAGCACACAGGAATTTGGCCTATTTTTGGTTCTATGGGAACCTATAAATCCATAGAAACACAACGGGGTAACAGTAAACTCCAGAAATGATTTGCCAAAGGAGATTAAAAAAAAAAAAGACAATTGCCAGAATCTCTCTACAATTCAAAGATGAATTCTTTTTCTGTTTAACCCAACTCTTTTTCTTTGTTATTTATCCTATGTCAAATTTAGGACAGAAAGCTCCTTGGGACAACTCTGTAAAAGTGTCATAAACACCACTGGCTTAATTAAATAAATTATGAAATAAGAAAAAATAAGTGGGAATGTTTGAAATAATGTCTCTTCCTTCTGCAAATCTATAATATTTTTTGCATGAATTGAGAATTGAGGAAAGTAGGTTCTTCATAGGTTCTTCAGCGTTCAGCATTTTTGTCAGTAGTCTGAATAATAGTTAGTTGGATAAACTGCTGGAGTTGGCAATGTGCCACCCCTGGGCAACATATCCTCTGGACTCAGATGATTCTTCAGAATAAAAGAATTGGGCTGGGAAACAGTTGTTCTTCAATTAGCCAGGTGAAAAGGAAAAGGTGTCTGGGGGATATTCTTTTGGAAACTGGACAGAATTAAAAAAAAAACCTGAGAATGCAATTAAGTATTTAGAAAGTCAGCTGGTATTGTAGAAGGCAGAGCTGGGATTCCATGCAAGAGATGGGTGGATGGGGCACATAGCTATATTGGAATGGATAGCTATTTGGATAAAAGGTAACCTTAGATGTAATAAGCTTATGTGTGGAGATAAATAAGGTGATAGATTTGGAAGATATTTTACTTTTGGTTTTATGTGGCGGCTTGTTTTGCATTGATTGACAGTATGAGAGATAATTGTGGAGGCATCACTTTATGGGTGAGAGTCTGATTTTGGAAAATTACAGATTAATTAGAGTGGAGGGAAATTTGGCTTCTCTTTCTGTGAAAGTAATGGTTTTGGTTAGAGTAGAAAACTGGGGGTTCAAAGAAATGTCTTTGTCTACCTCTATGCATTAATGTTCTTGAAGCTATCTTTAAAATTACCTATCAAATATTTGCCTCTATCTCAGATTTACCCTACATGCAAATTATAGGTGGAAAAAAAAGAGACCTGAATTTATTTAATTTCTTTGTAAGATTTTTTTTACTATCTTAGTCCTAAGGGATTCCAGGCAGTATGCTAAAGATTGCGAATGGTTGATATAAATTCTACCTGAAACACGAGTTGCCAGCTTGTTGTATTTTATCTTCACAGCTTCTTTGTTTGCTATATCCCTATGGGGAAGCACCTCCAAATGAAAGTCATCTGTACAACATAAAAAAATATAATTTTATCTGCTAGAGTACTGAAAGGTTCCCAAGAGATTATGAGAAACCATTATCTAAAAACAAGAGTTTTAGAAAATGGGCTTGCCTGAACACAGCAAAGTGTACATTACACAGTTTACATAGTAAACAACAGTTAGTTTGAGAGGCAAACATTATAAAAGAACAACTGATCTGAATATTAACATTATTGAACTTAATAATTGCTAATAACATACTATAATATATAGTGAGTAGAATTATGCTCAGCTACTATTTATCTAAAACAATATGAAGCAGTGTAATGTTTTAGGTTCTTAACATAGGTTCCAAAATAAAATTGTTTCAATTATTTATTTGTCTTCACATTATATATGTCGGACACATATCCTTAATAATTGTGGCTTAGATCATGAAGTGTTGGTGGCAAAAGTCAAAGCTAAAGCATGTACCATCAAAAAAGCAGTGCCTGGAGATAGTCTCTGTTCCAACGGTTCAAGTCCTAGCACTGTACGACGGGGTGAGCTCCTGTCACTCGCCTCAGCTTCTGTCCACCTAACAGTTTGAAAGCATGTTCTATACAAGTAGGTACCACTTCCATGGGAGGGAGGGGGATGAGTTGATGCTCCGGGCAGTCAGTCAGATTCCTGCCATTTTTAACCTTCCTGGCAGCGCCCATTTATGAAGCAGCTCCAGGGAAGGGAGGAAGGGGCTAGGATGACACTGCAGAAAAAGCCACCTGACTTTCTTTCTGGTGCGAAGCCAGCTCTCCCTCCTGTGATGCACTTTGGGAAGTGTAGGAGCGTGTCCTACAATACAGCTGGTAAACTGACAGCCAAACTACTACTCTGCAATAGCATTGTAGTCTCCTGGCTAATGAAACAATGTCATGTGCTAATAATAAGCTGTAATGCTGAAGAAGGCACCTGTGTATTCCTTGGACAGCAAAAGTGAGCATCAAGAAAGTATTGGAGTGCATAACAGACATGTCACTAGAAGTCTCACTTATTTTGGCCATGTCGTGAACAGAGATTCACTGGCGAAAGTAATGATGTTTGGAAGAGTTTGCAGTAAAAAGAAATAAGGTATGCCAGTTTCGGAGTTTTGATTTTGTTGGGAGGGTTACTTGGAACCCTGACATATGGTGGCTGGACACTGTCAAAGCTGATACACCCCGAGAATAGAAAAACTCAAAGGAATAGTGCAAGATCAGAAGAAATGGAAAGACACAACTCAATGGTAACATCATTGATTTTATATGAGCCGTGGTGGCGCAGTGTTAGAATGCAGTACTGCAGGCTACTTCTGCTGATCATCGGCTGCCAGCAATTTGGCAGATCGAATCTCACTAGGCTCAAGGTTGGCTCAGCCTTCCATCCTTCCGAGGTGGGTAAACTGAGGACCCAGATTGTTGAGGGCAATATGCTGACTCTGTAAACTGCTTAGAGAGGGCTGTAAAGCACTATGAAGCATCATCATCCAGGATTTACTAGATTTTCTTTCATTAAGTAACAAGCCATTTAGCACATCCTATGAGATTACTATCTAAAAGGTAGGTGCCCTGCTTTTATCTCCAGGAAGAAATATACTGTGCCTCCAACGCCAGTGATGGCTAACCTTTTTCGGACTGAGTGCCCAAAGCGTGCTTGCCCATGCGCCTGAACCTCTGAAATGCAATGTGAGCGCGTCCCCCGTGCATGCACCCCTCCCCCCGTGGTGCAGCTCCTGCAAGAGTCCCGGGCCCCACACAGCAGAGACCCAAAGACCAGCTGGACAGTGGGAGGCGCACGTGCATGTGCAGGGGAACTGAACTGGGGCGACGGCTCGCATGCCATCAGAAAGGGCGCTACGTGCCACCTCTGGCATGCTTGCCTTAGGTTCGCCATCACGGTCCTATGCTAATGTATCCAGTAACTTGCTCAGATACAAAGATATTTTTTTTCTGTCCATTCATGCCCCTTTCCTCAACTATGACCTCCTAGACCCAGCAGGGAGGGAAAATAACCTTTGCTATACAGGAAATAGGGACAGTAACTGAAATTAGTGATGGGATCAACAAAATCTACACCAATTTGTTTTTCTACTGGCTGATGGATGGGAGGATACAGTAGAAGGGACCAACACCCTTGAAAATGGCAAAGCAAAATGCCCATTGAGATGTGTGGGTGGGTGGGGTAGTGCTGAATTTAAACTATAATGGGTATAAAAAGGGACAACAGTTGCATATTGACAGAAGGTGATCTCTTGCTTAAAGGGGATTCATTCAGCATGCAATAAAGATTTTTAGCTAGCCATGCTGTGTCAAGCATCTAGATAGTTTCTGCCGAGTTTGAACCAGGGAGTCTGCCAATGGGATTCCAATCTACAACAAAAGTTAATATTGGCTATGTTAATAAATAGGATGTAAGTATATATAACAATTTAGTTTATAAGAATGCTCAGTATGGTTACGCAAGAATAAGAGAATGATTAGGAAGATTGAATTTAAAAGTAAAGATAATTGTCGATGCAGAAAGTTGTAAAATATTATATAATATTGTTATTTATGTTTTGTATTTTACCGTTTGGTGTATGTCTATGTGTATGTTCTTTTTTCTTTTTTCATTTTTTTTGTCTTTTTCTATTATGTTTTTGGTTTTAAAAATATAAAATATTCAATAAAAAATATTTTTTTTAAAAAAAGTCATTTTTGCTCTCGCCTGCAAATAGCTCAGTCTGAGGGCTAATCTTAAGAAAAGAAGACATTTCCAAATGGGGTCTTTGATCCCAGCCCCTTTTTTCTGGTTCCTGGACAACAACCACCTCTTTCTCATTGCCAAAATGTGGCATTGTAATTCTTATCTTTTAAGGCATAAAACACATGTATGTATTGCAAGCCTTTCTAACAGATTGTAACTTATTATGATATACAGTACTCCTTATGGCCCTGAGCATAAGGGGGTTGGGATTCCAGGTTCTTTACTTAAGTCTCAAGTGGCAAAGCTGGGAAAGACCGTAATGAGATTTCAGAAATTGATGCCAGTTATTTTCCTCTTAGGTCTAAGCATTTGTTTCTACCAGAATGTTGGGTATTTTTTTCTGTTACCTCTAGTGATACAAGAAAATCAATCATCATCATATTTCTATCACACCTTGTGTTAAAGTTGAATAAACAGCCCGGTAGATTTGCAAGCAACGCTCTTCCTTCTTCTGTGCCCGTTGATGACATTTGCAGTGCTGAAAATGACTATTTCTCATTTTTATTTGTGCCTCTGTGCATCTGTCCTTGGCTTCATGGTACAGAAAGATGTAACCGTTCTTAGAAAGATGCTGGGAACAGTTTTGCAGGATCTGATAGTTGGTACTGCAGGAAGGCTCAGCTAGACAAAGGGTCTCAGCTGTTAGACAGTTGTTTGGCTGCTCAAAGGACATAACTTGGAATCCTCCTGTTTGGGAAAAGAAGGAATGTCATCATTTTATATATACTGCAGCCAACTTCTCATCCCATAGTGTTGGTTACCAAAGGAGCCTTCCTAATTTCATGTTCAATTTGGTTTCAAGTGAGTCAAGTTCAATAATTCCTTCATAAATTATCTAGATTGCATCAATTAAGAGCATTAAGAACAGCTGAAGAATGATGTAGACCTGCTTCACTTAAAAGCAAGGGATTCTTGGTAATATTAATATATCATAAAACTCTTACCCAAGTGTTTAAAAACTCTGCAAGGATCATCTGGTATCTGAACTTGATTAATATTATTAGAGTTTTTTGTGGCACAGAATTTCTTTTAAATTTACTTCAACAGGGCAAGAAGAACTGATCATGAAGATATCATATAGGTAATAGCACTAATGTTAAAATGATAGTAAATGACACTAAATAAATTATAACCTTTCTAGATTATGCTGGCAGGGTTGTAAGCATACTGCTACATTTATATGAACAAGTCCAATTAGTAAGAAGTTTTTGAAGAAATTGGGAAAATTACCCAATCATCTTTTACAATAAATCTTCTTGATTATTTATTTCATATTTCCTGAGAAATATAAATGAATTCATTGGTTTAATGTGTGGCCTCTCCTCAAGAAGCCTTCCCTGGACCCAGCAGTGTTGGCTAATTACCGTCCAGTCTCCAACCTTCGCTTTGTTGTGAAGGTTGTTGAGAGTGTGGTAGCGCGACAGCTTCCTCAGTACTTGGATGAATCGGCTTATCTAGATCTGTTCCAGTCGGGCTTCAGGCCTGGATACAGCACGGAAACGGCATTGGTCGTATTGGTAGATGATCTCTGGAGGGCCCGGGACAGGGGTTACTCTTCTATCCTGGTCCTATTAGACCTCTCAGCGGCTTTTGATACCATCGACCATGGTATCATGCTGCACCGGTTGGAAGAGCTAGGGGTGGGGCACACCATTCTGCGGTGGTTCTCCTCCTACTTCTCTGACCGGTCGCAATCTGTGTTGACAGGGGGGCAGTGGTTGACCCGAGGCACCTTGCTTGTGGGGTGCCACAAGGGTCGGTCCTCTCGCCCCTTCTGTTCAACATTTATGTAAAGCCGCTGGGTGAGATCATCCGTGGCTTTGGGGTGGAGTTCCATCAGTACGCTGATGACACCCAGCTGTACATCTCCACCCCAGGCCACCCCAACGATGCCCTTGAAGTGATGTCCCAGTGCCTGGAGGCTGTGCGGCCTGGATGGGGAGAAACAGGCTCCGACTCAACCCCTCCAAGACCGAGTGGCTGTGGCTTCCGGCGTCCCAATATAGCCAGCTGGTGCCATCGCTGGCTATTGGGGGCGAATCACTGGCCCCCACGGAGAGGGCTCGCAACTTAGGCGTCCTCCTGGATGCACGGCTGTCTTTAGAAGAGCATATGACGGCCGTGGCCAGGGGGGCTTTCTATCAGGTTCGCCTGATACATCAGTTATGTCCCTTTCTGGATCGGGACTCCCTACGCACGGTCACTCAAGCACTCGTCACTTCCCGCCTGGACTACTGCGATGCTCTCTACATGGGGCTCCCCTTGGAGTGCACCTAGAGGCTCCAGTTGGTCCAGAATGCGGCCGCGCGGGGGATTATGGGAGCGACGGGGCGCTCCCATGTGACACCTCTCCTGCGCGAGGTGCACTGGCTTCCTGTGGTCTTCCGGGTGCGCTTCAAAGTGTTGGTGACCACCTTTAAAGCGCTCCATGGCTTAGGGCCGGGGTACTTGCGAGACCGCCTTCTGCCGCCAATAGCGTTCCACCGGCCGGTTCGCTCGCACAGAGAGGGCCTCCTCAGGGTGCCGTCGGCCAGACAGTGCTGGCTGGCGACCCCCAGGGGTAGAGCCTTCTCTGTGGCGGCACCAGCCCTCTGGAATGACCTACCCCCTGAGATATGCACGATATCGGACCTCCGGACTTTTTGTTGGGCCCTGAAAACACACTTATTCCATCTAGCCGGGCTGGCTTGATCCCATCCTCTCAGTTTTAATTGAATTTGGTTTTAATTGGGTTGTTTTAATTACTGGGCCGAAATTATTTAATTGTTTTTTAAACTGTTTTTAAATTTTTTATGTCGTGTTTTATCTCGGCTGTGCACTGCCCTGAGTCCCGCAGGAGAAGGGCGGTATAAAAATAAAAATAAAAATATTACAAGTATGAGCATTTGTTCTGGTTAAAAATTAAACACAACAGCAGAGAGTTTTGGGGAAAAAAATCTACAAAAATAGTAACTGTGATCATCATTTATCAGCTATGTTAACAATGTTCTTATCAATAGATAAGCTTGATCTGTACAAATGTAATTTTGCTTTGAAATTTTAAATATGGATAGTTAAAATGTCTGTATTAAGAAATGCACATACAAACATGATGTGTGATACATTTATTACATTTTAATTCTTTTTTATTTGCTTTTATTTCTTGTTTAATTTTTTAAAAAAATTTCTGGTACCTTGATGTTTTGATTCCTTTTTATATATATCTTATTAAAAGTTTTAAAGAAAATATAAAAACCAACACAAACTAATACAGAATGAAGAAAACAGAGAGAAAAATAAAAAAGCAAAAGTACAGAAAGAAAAGATAAAAAGAAGCTTTTGATTTCCTCTGTAGTAAATGTAAGAATTACAAAATTATCTCTTGCTCTATGATTATAAAAAGCTCATTTCTTCTGTTATCTAATTTTTTTTCTAATCATCAAAACCACAAGTCATGAGTGCATTTTTTCTGTTTAATGCAAAAAGCATTAAGTCAGTCATAAATGTAGATGTTGCCTTTTCTCTAATCAAAAAAGACAATTTAGCCATCTTTGCAAATTCCGTCATCTTCACCAACCATTCCTCCATTGCTGGTAGGATTAAACTTTTCCACTTTTGAACATATAACAATCTCATTGCAACTACCATATATAGAAACAAAATTCCAGGGAGAAGTTTTTATTTCTCAGTAAAAAGCAAGTGAATAACAGAGATACTAATGGTTCACATATTCATCCTGCAATCAAATTCTCATCCCTGATTTCCAAAAAAGCTTTCAGTCCTTTTGATACTCTGCTCCATAGTCTAATTCTTATGCTTTTCTAGATACAATAAAGAGATGTTCCATGGTATTGTATTATATTTGAACCATTACAATTACCATGAATAGATTAACTTATTTTAACCTGACTGCTTGAGAGTGTTATCTGGGAGGAGTTTGATGCTGTGACTCCCGATGATGTGGACAGGATTTTGGGGAGACTTAGTGCGGCCACATGTTTACTGGACCCGTGTCCCTCCTGGTTGGTACTGGCCTCCCGGGAGGTTACACGAGGCTGGCTCCAGGGTGTTATCAACGCTTCGTTGAGTGAGGGTTACTTCCCCGCGGCCTTGAAAGAGGCGGTGGTGAGGCCTCTCCTCAAGAAGCCGTCCCTGGATCCGGCAATATTGGCCAACTACCGTCCTGTCTCCAACCTTCGCTTTCTGGCGAAGACTGTTGAGAGTGTGGTCGCGCGACAGTTCCCGCAATTCCTGGAGGAAACATCCTATCTGGATCCGTTCCAGTCTGGTTTCAGGCCTGGGCACAGCACGGAAACGGCATTGGTCGCGTTGGTTGATGATCTCTGGAGGGCTCGGGACAGGGGTTGCTCCTCTGTTCTGGTCCTGTTAGACCTCTCAGCGGCTTTTGATACCATCGACCATGGTATCATGCTGCACCGGTTGGAAGAGTTGGGGATGGGGGGCACCGTGTTATGGTGGTTCTCCTCCTTTCTCTCCGACAGGTCGCAGTTCGTGTTGGCAGGGGGGCAGAGGTCGACCTCGAGGCCTCTTATATGTGAAGTGCCTCAGGGGTCGGTCCTCTCGCCCCTCCTGTTCAACATTTATGTGAAGCCGCTGGGCGAGATAATCCGTGGCTTTGGGGTGAGATACCATCAGTACGCTGATGATACTCAGCTGTACATCTCCACCCCAGGCCACCCCAACGATGCCCTTGAAGTGATGTCCCAGTGCCTGGAGGCTGTACGGATCTGGATGGGGAGGAACAGGCTCAAGCTCAACCCTTCCAAGACTGAGTGGCTGTGGTTCCCGGCATCCCGATATGGTCAGTTGACTCCATCACTGACCATTGGGGGCGAGTCTTTGGCCCCCACAGAGAGGGCTCGCAATCTGGGAGTCCTCCTGGATACGCAGCTGTCCTTGGAGGAACAGCTGACGGCTGTAACCAGGGGGACCTTTTATCAGGTTCGCCTGATCCGCCAGTTGCGGCCCTTTCTTGATCGGGATTCCTTGTGCACAGTCACTCATGCCCTCGTAACCTCTCGCCTTGATTACTGCAATGCTCTCTACATGGGGCTCCCCTTGAAGAGCACCCGGAGACTCCAACTGGTCCAGAACGCAGCAGCGCGGGTAGTGACGGGAACAGCGTGGCGCTCCCATGTAACACCGCTCCTGCGTGAACTGCACTGGCTCCCGGTGGTCTTCCGGGTGCGCTTCAAGGTGTTGGTTATCACCTTTAAAGCGCTCCATGGCATAGGGCCTAGCTATCTTCGAGACCGCCTACTGCCACCAACGACCTCCCACCGACCCGTGCGCTCCCACAGAGAGGGCCTCCTCGGGGTGCCATCAGCCAAACAATGCAGGCTGGTGACCCCCAGGGGGAGGGCCTTCTCTGTGGGGGCACCCACCCTCTGGAATCAGTTGCCCCCTGAGATAAGGAGAATCCATGACCTCAGTGCCTTCCGCCGTGCCCTTAAAACTTTCTTTTTTCAACAAGCCGGGCTGGCTTAATTTCTTTTTAAGGGTTTTTTAATTGTTTTGTTTGTTTATCGTTTTAATTAATGGGGCCAAGTCTCTATATATATATTTAACTGTGTTTTAATATTTGTATTTGATGTTTTTATTTGGCTGTTCACCGCCCTGAGTCCTCAGGGAGAAGGGCGGTATACAAATTCAAAAATAAAATAAAATAAAATAATAAATAAATAATT